CCCTTGGCGCCCCTCTGGACCCTCCCAGTTTATCCTCAAAAACTTTCGTGGGGGGCTGTGGAAGTTTCAGGAGACTCCCAGGAGGTTTCTGGAGGCCCTGGAGGCCCCACAGATCTCCAGAGCCCGGAGACCCCGGAAAAACAAAACACGCCCCAACACGTGCAATCGTCCGTTCACGTCCACAGACGATCACCACCACCACCACCGCCACAACGACCACTACGACGACCACCGCGACGATCATCGCGACGGCGGTGGCGGCGGCTGCGGCGGCGGCGCCCGCGGGGGCGGCGGCGGCGGCGACGACGGCCTGGCGGCCCAAAACTTCTGGGGCCCTCTTCGGCCACCGTGGCAGTCACTGCACTTGTGCAGTTTGGGAACTTTCGAAACTTTCAGAACCTTCCGACGCGTCGCACGTCGATCATCGCACGGTTCCTCGACCGCCCATCGATCCCGAAGCCTCCCAGAAGGCCCAGCACCTCCGCGCAAGGGCGGCCCTTGCCTGGGGAACTCTCACTGGGTACTTTTTGGGTTTCGTGGATTGACAACGCTTGCGCAGTCGGCTAGAACCCAAGCGCGCGTAGCGCGCGTGGTTCTAGTACATACATCCATCTATAAATACAAGACAGAATTGGCGCTTCGCGCCATGCACCTTGCTCCTGTAAGTTTGGCATGCAGGCGGAATGGCATGACGGTCAAACAGACAAATTAGCGATAATTCCGTGTTGCCTTGTCTGGTATCGCCGCTATGATAATGTTAATCGTTATTTTTCCTCCACGTTTATTTCCCAACCGTCATGCTGTGGGTTTCTGTATTGAATAGAGCGCTGCGGTCGCTCACCTTGTTCCTCCTCTACACCCCCCCTCCCCCCTGCGGGCCGGTTTGCCTCCTACCTGGCCATCCCTGGCGGGCTGCGATATGTGAAATTGTCGCCACTTTCGATGGCTGCTGGGGTGTCCAGAGGAGTAGTGTTCCACGCGGATTAGACCTCGCCATCGCTGGGGGTTGAGATATGCGAGAATGTCGCCACTTTCGAAGGGTGCTGGGGGGTCCAGCGGAGTGGTGCCCCACGCGGATTCAAATTGGGCCTCGCCATCCGTGGAAGGGTGCGATTTGCGAGAATGTCGTCACTTTCGAGGGTTGCTGGGGGTCCAGCGGAGTGGTGCCCCACGCAGATTCAAATTAAATTTCAGCATTTGCGATCTGCGAAACTGACGCCACTTTCGAGGGCTGCTTGGGGATCCAGCGGAGTGGGGTCCCACACGGATTTAAGTTCGACCTCGCCATCCTTGGGGGGCTGCGATCTGTGAAAAATTGTCGCCACTTTCGAGGGCTGCTGGGGGGTCCAGCGGAGCGTCGTTTTACGCGAACTAAAACTCGACCTCGCCTGCGCTTTGGGGCTGCGATCTGCGAAACTGTCGCCTTTTCGAGGGCTGCTGGGGGTCCATGGGAGCGACGCCCTGCGCGGACTCAATTTCGACCTCGCCATCCTTGGGGGGTTGCGATCTGCGAAACTCTCGCCAGTTTCGAGGCCTGCTGGGGGGTCCAGCGGGGCACTGTCGCGGGGCGCTACCGCGGGCTGTCCGCAAGCCTGGCAGCGCGCCATCGAGCGTTCAGCTCCCGCGCTGAAGAAATGCAAGAAGGACAGGGAAACTGGGGGCGAGCTAGGCCTCGCTCGCTTCGTGCACTAATTGGAAGCAGGATTAATCGTTTCGCCGAGCGCCGCGGCGACATGGCGCAGGCAGCGCTGCATCATTAGCGTATTACCGATAAAAGCAACAGTCTTCGGTCTCCTCCCGTCACTTTCGTCGTCGTCCTCTGCCCCGTGCCACCTTCCCTCTGCTGCTGCCGCGCTGATGGTTCGGCCCCCCGCGCCCCTTTGTTCCCGCGCCCATGTCCCCCTCAAGCCTGTGCCCTCGCTCCTCGTGCTTCTGGTGTTGCCCCGTGTATCGCGCCACGTGAGCGCATCCCATGTAGTTTGCACAACACATAACGGTGCCTGCACGGCCATTGACCTGGCAAGTTTGGGAAAACTTGTCTTGCCACTTGATGCAAATGGGCGGGGTACGTCGCACGATATTTCCTCATTCTCGCCCTACCCTGCGAATTCTCCCCCATCCTCGTCAGCTCTTTTTGCGGAGGCTCCTCCATGGAGAGCCTCTGGGGGCTCCACGGAAGTTTCTCAGGTTTTCTCAACGTCTTCTGGAGGCCTCATGGGCGTCTTCTGGGGGCCTTTGGGGAATTCCTCGGGCTACCCTGCCTCCAACCGCGGTCTCCCTGAACGACCGAGTCACGATTTGGAATGCTTCGGAGGGCGTCTTGGGGCCAATTTTGGCCGTCATGGGGCTCTCATAGGCCATCTTGGAACCCTGTTGTGCCATCTTGGGGCTCTCTCGGACTGCCTGGAAGCCCTTTCAGATGGGTCTTGGGCGATTTTGGAGACTCCCAGGCGGTTTCGGACGCCCAGAAAACAGAAGAACAGGCTATTCCCAGAATCATTCAAACTTCTCGGATTTTGTACCTTTTGGAAGCCTCTTGTGGGTCTTATTTGGGTCGTCTTCGGGCGTCTGGTGGGTGTCTGGGGCCTCTTGGGGCCCTCGGGACGGGGCTCCGGCTTCCCTCCTGACCGATTTGGACCCGTCGGGCCTCTTGCAGGGGCGTCCAGGGGGTCTTCAGGGCCACGGATCCTGAGGGTCCAGAGGGTCCGGGGGGCCTCGGATTCGGGGCGTCCGGTTTCGGGGGGGGGGTCTTAGATAATTCCAATATGTGAATGGGAATACGTTAATTGTTCTCTCCCCCTCTCTCCCTTCTCTCTCCCTATCTTCCTCGAGCGTGTTGTCTACGTGAAGTGTGCGGCGTCCTCTGTCACAGCGATTGCTGCACTCTTCGGCGCCCAGTTGGACTCGGAGTGGCGTCAGGATGGTCTCGAATGGCCTCGGAACGGCCTTTGATGGCATCGATAGCCATGGACTAGCCTCGGATGGCCTGTGATCTTTTGCGGATGGCCGGGTCAAGGGGGCAGAGAATGACACCCCCCTGACACAAACACATACACACACACGTTCAATATAATTGTGTAATACGTCTCGTTTTGCGACATCATTTGAGTGCCATAACCGTTTGGCTTTGTAGTTTGAATTCGACAGGTTCTTCCCAAGGCAGTGCTCGTCAGGGTAATCTCATGTGCCAGGACAATCAGTGACTCAACCTTGCACTAAATAGCAATTTCTGGGAGATTTGAATCAAGCTTTGGCCCTAGTACCTCACTGCTGTCGATCCAGCCGAATCTGGCTCAATCCGTTCAAGCCCGGCCTAGGATGTGGAGCTCAACTCGGTTTAACCCAGCGTGATCGCCCCCAAGCGTGGCCTAGAAAGTCTCCATCACAATCGCGAAGACCTCCCAGGACCTGCGGTCGAAATCGAAGATGAGGATGGGTAACTTTCCCAAGGGTGTTGCATCGTTGCCTCTTCGGTCCATCCTTAGCCACTTTCGACGGCCAGGCCCGCATGGGCGTACAAGGGGCCTGCATCCTCATCGCGCATCTTTCTTGCTCCCAACGTGCGGCATGGCTGCGTGATCCTGCGGCATGGCCGCATGGCCGCCACCACCGCGGCCTCTGCGCGCTCTGGTCCACGTGCTGGTGGTTGGCCCCTTGGACTGCCGCCGCTCGAGCAAGGGCACCCGTGCCTGCACGCACGCACCCGCGAGAAGGGAACTCGGCTGTGGTGGCAAGTGCAGTGCAGCATCGATGATGACCAGGACGATTTTTTGGGCTGACCCTGAGATCTTGGCGTTACCTGTTTTTCATCACGGGCATGTTTGCCTGGTTTCAGGCCCTGAGACCCTCACATATACATTTCGCTCGAGCAATGGAGCAGAACGAAACGTGCGGGTCCTAGGGTCTGGTGGTGACTTTTGCGATGTTGCATTTTTTGTGCAACGTCAGATCTTAGGGGAGGAGGGGGTTCGACGCCAGGCCAACGCAACAACTGCTTCAATTTGGCTGTCGTTGTCGGTTTCCAGGCTAACACTCACGCGCGGCGTTTGTAGAATCGGGGATCGCGCTCTCCTCCTCCTCCTCCTCCTCCTCCTCCTCCTCCTCCTCCTTTTTCTCCTCCTGCTCCTTTTTCTCCTCCTCCTCCTCCTCCTCCTCCTCCTCCTCCTCCTCCTCCTCCTCCTCCTCCTCAGGGGGGAAAGAGATTTGAGCGGAGGAGTTGTGCTGAGGCTTTCAGAAGAGAAGTGCTTGGGTTTCTTTGGCCTCTGCTGGGCCTCCAGAGATTCCTGGAGCCCTTCTCAGGCCGTCAAGTGGCCTCCAGAGACCGGACGCCTCCGGCGACATCTGGATACTTTTTGGTTTTCTAGGATACCTCCTCCTCCCCTGGCGCCGGGACTGGCCGTGAGAGCCTTCTCTTCTTGTGCCAAGTCCCTGGCAGTGGAGGGCCGCGCACAGCTGGGATGGTTTATGTTACGTGCTCGACCTTGGACCCCGTGTTTAACACAACCAATCAGCGTCCGGGCCGAAGACCGCCAGAAACCGCCGAAGACCGTCAGAAGACCGCCGAACACCGCCAGAAGACCGCCGAAGACCGCCGACGAGCACAGAAGACCGCCAGCAGCCCGACAGAGATCGCCGAGGACCGCCCAGCTCCGGTGGGGCTCCACGGCCGCATGCGCAGCCTGCGGCCCCTTCCTGCCAGCGCTGCGCCGACACCACACTGGGCGGGCTCGCAGGGAGCCCGGCGGGCGCCGCGCCAGTCGAGAGAGCGCCAGGAGGCGCGGCGGCGCCGCAGACGGAGGCAGAGCGCTGCGGCGGCCTCGCTGCCTCCGTCCCCCCCTCGCTGCACGGCGGGGGGAGCGCGCACCTCGTCCGCCCCCCACGCCGCCTCGCCACGCCGCCCGCCCCCTCGCCGCCCGCCTCTCCTCCCCCCCCCCCGTCTGCCTCGCTGCCCCGCCCCGCCCTCGCTGGTCAGAGCCCGCCGCCTCCGCGGCCCCCGCCAGAACAAGCCCGCGGCCCTCGCCGGAGCAGGAGGGGCCCTGGGGGACTCGTTCAAGGACTCCCGGCGGCGCTCGCAGAGGGGGGGCGGGGCGAGGCCCTCTGGATGCTGACGTCCCACGTGCTCGCTGCGCCCCTCCTGGGGAGCCCTCGCCCTCGTGGCCACTGACGGCTGGACGCAGCTCGAGAAGCTAGCCCCCCGATGTACTCCACGATCGGGGGGCAACGCTAGGGGGGATAGGCATAACGGGGGATGCATCGACCCCCGATCGCCCGTTGATCGCCGATCGGGACCCAGTACCCCACCCCGCCCAGGAATGTGCGGATCCGCTATCGGGGGCATATCGCCGATCTATCGACGATGTATCGCCGATTCCAGGTCGATTCATCCCTCCTTCTGTCTATCCCCCCCCTAACGTTGCCCCTCACACGAGGGGTCTGGGGACCAGTCCAGCGCGGACTTTGGCGGGCCTGGGAGGCCCCCCTGAGAGGAAGGCAGGTTTTTTTGTTGTTACGAGCCCCCCCCATCTTGTGAGATACGATATCTTATAAGGGCGACGTTTGAACACAGTGTCGCGGCACTGCTTTGAACAATCCGCATCGTTCAAAGCAGTTCCCTGGCACTGCTTTGAACGATGCGGAAATTTGGCCAGCAGGGGGCAGGGAAACGACCGACGACGATGACGACGACGACGACGGCGGAGACGACGACGTCGACGGGCGAAGACGACGACGGCGACGGACGACGACGACGACGACGACGACGACGACGACGACGACCACGACCACGACCACGACGACGACGACGACGACGACGACGACGACGACGACGGCGGCGGCGGCGGCGGCGGCGGCGACGATGGCGGCGGCGGCGGCGGCGACGACGACGACGGAGCGTCTGTCTTCCTTTACATAGATATAGACATATGTATGCATGTGTATAATTACACACACCCATAAACCTCCATATATACACATATATGTGTGTAAATATATGTATGTGCGTACATGCACAATTATGTATATCGTCGCCGCCGTCGCCGCCATCGCCGTCGCCGCCGCCGTCGCCGCCGTCGTCGCCGTCGACGACGACGCACGCCCCTCCGGCGCGCCCCCCCCCGCCACGAGCAGCGGTCACGGGGCAGCGGCCTGGAGGGGCACGCTCTGACCTCCTCCCTGTGCTTTGGGGCGCCCCCCCTCGCCGCGACAAAGCGGTCACGGGGGGTTGCTCTGGTGGGGCGCGTTCTGACCAACCTAGGCTCTGGAACGCCCCCCCCCCCGTCGCGGGAAAGCGGTCACGGGGGGGGCGCTCTGGTGGGGCGCGCTCTGACCACCTCCCTGAGGTGTGGGGCGCCACCCCCCGCCGCGACGAGGGGGTCACGGGGGGGCGCCCAGGAGAAGTGAGCTGTCGACCCTCCCCACGAGCACATCACCCTCCTCATCCTCCTCCTCCTCCTCCTCCTCTTCCTCCATTCGTGTTCGGCTCAAGCCCGCGCCGACGGGCAGACTCGCGCGGTTGGCGGTCTCGCGCCTGCCTCCGCGGCCTACGATCGGGGCTGACATGTGTGCAGGGTGGGACTGCAACTCCACAAGGAGCAGAGATGGTCGACCGCAGTGGCGGATACGGCGTCGGAGCTGACCGCAGTGGCGGCTGGGGCGGCGGGGATTATCGTGGCGGATGGGGGGGCAAAACACAGGGTGGCGGCGACGGAAGCGACCGCAGTCGCGGATGGGAGGGCGGCGGATGGGAGGGCGGCGGCGGATGGGACGGGGGCGACCCAAGTGACCGCAGTCACGGATGGGAGGGCGGCGGCGGCTGGGGATGGGAAGGCGGCCGATGGAGGGTCTCCGAGGACACCGCTCCAGTGCATGGGAAGGTGGCCGCTCGAGTGCCTGGGAAGGCTCTCCCTCCGCGGAGCCCGCCCCCGCAACAACGGCGGGCAAAGGAGGCCCTCCCCAAACTTTCCCGGGCCGCGAAGAGCAAGGCGCAATTGCGCTTTTCGCAGGTGTGCACAGGGATCCCGCGCGTGTTTTCAAGCTGGAGTTTTTCGATAACTTCGGGCGGGAGTGGTTTGGCAATTATAAGCATCATGGCGCGGCCTTGAAGTGGTTCCGAGACGAGTGCGAAGACCGAGAAAACCGTTCGGCAGCCGCACGCCTGTCTTCGAAGGCGCCGCAGTTGAAGTTCCGCGCGCACGGGAAGGCGCAGGACAACAGGGGCTGGGACTGGGACCGCAGTGTGAAAATTCCGTGGTCTTGGCGGGAGATGGTCGCGCAAATGGATGGACCTACAACGCTTCGCGTGGTGTGCGGCCCTGACAATGACCACAGTCGCTGGTTGGTCCGCTGCGACTGCCGCCCATGCCCTGACAACAGTCTCGACAACATGAGGCACGCGAAAGGGGCAGGCAGAGAACAGACGCAACGCATCCCTCTGCCTCCGTGGGATTTCGTGCTCATCTGCGACGACGGCTCGGGCATTCGCGTCCACCCATCTTGGCCCAGCACGAAGTTCAACATTTATGGGGTGGAGCCGTTCTGGTTCCCCGCGCGGGGCCCGACGGCAGGCTTTGGCAAGAGCGACGGCAAAGGAACGTTCAAGTATTGGAAGGATCTGCGCGCCCATCCGAATCTCGGGCGGTTCAGTGCGAACGAGGGGGCTGGGCTGCAACCGCGGTGGCCCGCGCAGCCTTGAAACCGCAGCGGCGGGCTGCAGCCGCGGCGGGCGCAGCCGTGGAACCGCAGTTGCGGCGACCTATCGCGTGACGCCGCGCTGACTTGACTCACTAGCTATGCGTGCCTTCGGCCGCAGTTGTGGCGCTGCTTGCAAACGAGCTCGCGCAGCTTGGCCGCAGTTGCGGCGCTCTCACGACTGACCCCGTGCAGGCGCTGCGCGTGCGCATCATCTCCGTAGACGCACTCGCTGTATTCGCGCGGCCGCAGTTGCGGATACGGGTAAAATAAATAGTTCCGCAGGTGATCGTCGCCCTCGTCTCCCCTTCCCCGTCGTCCTCGTCGCACCGGGCCGCAGTTGCGGACCGTTGCGATTCCTCCTCCGCCTCCGTTTCTGCCCTGTCGCCCTCGTCGCGGCCCCCTCCCTCGTCCTCCTCGTTCGAGCTCTTCGCGCCATCCTCGCCCCCCGAGTCCTCTCCATCCTCCTCTTCGTCTTCCTCTTCCCCCTCATCCTCGCCGCCCTCGTTGTCCTGCCTCGCCCACGCCGCCCGCAGTTCCTCCGTCGGGCGGGGGCCGCGCGCGGCGGCGCCATGGGCCCGGCTCAAAAAGCCCAGGTCGACGAGCGGTTCCACCAGCTGAAGCGCACAGTGCAGGAGCGGGTCGCCGCACGAGCGGCGGGCGCCGACGCCGACGAAGCATCGGACCGCAGTTGCGGAGGCCCCGGGCGATCGCCGCGCGAGGCGCCCTCGCAGTCGTCTGGCTCGGTGCGACGGCGGCGGCCGCCGCCGACTCTAAGCACGTTAATTCGCTCGCGGGCGTCGCGCGAGCGGTCGCGTAGCGCGCGGCGCGCGCGGGGCCCCCAAGGCAACGTTGCGGCCTCGGGCGCCGACGCCGACGAAGCAGCAGGCCCATCCCTCAGATGCGCGAGCCGCCACCGGGACCGCAGTTGCGGGGGTGGCTGGCGAGCCAGGTGCCGCGCGCGGCGCAGCTGGGAGCAGCGCCCGCCGCTTGGCGGGGGCGGTCTACATTCGCCGCGCCCGACCTGGACTTTCCTGGACATGACGGCAAGGAGTGTCGGGGGCGCTACGCCGCGACCCAATCCGACGACGAGGCCGAGTCGCGCCCGAGGAAGAGGCCGCCTCCCAGGGAAGGCTCGCCGCTGACGAAACCGCAGTCGGGTGGCAGCGCGGGGCCTCCGTCGGAACCGCAGTCGCGGGGTGGCGCGGGGCCTCCGCGGAAGAAGCCGTGGGCGCAGAGCCATCCAGGGGCGCGCCGCGTCGGGGAACTGCCCGGCGTGGAACGAAGGGCTCCTTCGGGCGCGACGCGGCGAGAAGGTTCCGCCCGCTCATTCTCTGGTGGTGAACGTGGTGGTTGTCGCGAAGTCGGCAACAGAGAAAGATGTGTTCGCTTGCATCCTGTCCCAAACTGCGGCGGCCCTCATCCACGCGCGGGGCCCTGAGCTTCTCCGCCAGGGTGAGGATGCGGGGCGAGCGGGCCCCGGGCCTTGGCGGGCCCCGCTCAGGCTTGCTCTCCAAGACGCTTGCGACCTGAAGAACAACTTCGCGGAGCCTTACTGGAAGACGGAGGACCTGTCCGACGACGTTGGCATCGCGCTGTGTCGCCCGCGCATCGTCGCAGAGACCGCAGTTCCGGCGCCCATTGTGGGGGCCGCCCACGCCGTCGCGATCCTGCGCTTCGCCTGAAGGCTTCCAAATTGAATCTTGACGCGTTGATCCCATTTGCAGTCGCGTCCAGACACGTGGTCCTCGAACCTCTGCAACCGAATATCACGGAAGCAGAACGAAAAGGGTGGGAGGAGAGTTGCGTCGGGGACGCCCTCGTTGCCATCCACGGAGACAATGTTCGGTTCTTTTGTGGCCCGCTCGACGTCCCGCCTGAGCAGCGCCGAGCCTTTTGCCGCAGTTGCGGAGCCAGCTACAAATGCCCGATCGCGGTGCCGTTCAGGGCCGGGCCCGCCCCGTTAGGGGGCATCAAGAAAGGCGCCCGCGTCACGCATCCGAATCGCGTCGCCCCCATTGGCCCGCGCGACGCGCGCGATGCGGACAACGGCGCAGACAATGCAGGGGGGCCGACGACCAATGGGTCCCAGTGGCTCCCAGATTGGATGAATCGAACACGCGAGTCCATCATCGCTCGGCCATGGGCCCCAGCGACCAGGATGCCGAAATGGGATGATGACCTAGACCGCAGTAGCGGACTCAGAAGAGACATCGGCTTGGAAGCGCTGCCCCCCGTCGGCAAGTATATTCAGGAGGAGCTGAACGACAAGACCTTCGCGACCCATCTGGCGAGAGGGCTTCCACCAAATTCTCGTCTTCGTCGGGCACGGGCGCCAAAGCCAGGCGAGCATGTCGAGTCAGGATCTGGTGCGATTTGCCGCAGTTTCGGATGAACGCAGGTGGAGTTGCGATGAGCCGCAGCTGCGGGACAGAACTCACAAGTGCCGCGGTGTAGGAGAGCCCGCAATTGCGGTGTAGGAGAGCCCGCAGCTGCGGCGTAGGAGAGCCCGCAGTTGCGGAACAGGTAGCGATTGAGTCCATGTTGTGGTGTAGGAGAGCCCGCAGTTGTGGCGTAGGGAAGCACGCAGCTGCGCACCCGCAGTTGCGGTTAGGACAAGCAAGACTTGTGCGCGCGCTGGGTCGTCGTCGTCGTCCTTCGTCCATCGTCGTCGTCGTCGTCGTCGTCGTCCATCGTCGTCGTCGTCGTCGTCGTCGTCGTCGTCGTCCATCGTCGTCGTCACGTCGTCGTCGTCGTCCGTATCCGTCGTCGTCGTCGTCCTCGCCCGTCGTCGTCGTCCTCGTCGTCGGTCGTCGTCCGCCGCTCGTCGGGACGTTTGCTTGTGGGCACTCTGAGAGCAGCGGAACGCGCTCGGGGAAATTCGCGAACGGACCCAGCCGGATGCTCACGTTTTTCCTTCGTCCAGGAGCCTTTCAGAGCGATAGTTTCCGCTCAGCCCCACCTCTGCCCCTACCCTTCCGCCTCCTCCTCCTCCTCCTCCTCCTCCTCCTCCTCCAGGAGCATTTCCGAGCAACGTTTCCCGCCCAGCCCCACTGGTGCCCCTGCCCCACCGCGTTGCGTCCCCCCCCCGCGGCCTCTGCCCCGAAGCGCGCTGTGGGGGAGAAGCGGGTCCCCCCAGGCCCTCGGGTCCCGAGGTTTGCCCGTCGCCGTGCTCTGGCTTTTCGCGAGGCCCCCCCGCGGTCCCCGGGAACGCTACGGTGGGGGCGTTGATTAAGGAATGCGCCCAGGATGCTGCAGACCCTGGAGGATTCCTTATCTGATCAGGGCGGCGGTGACATCCGTGGCCAATCCTCGATTGGAGTTCCACCGGCCTCGAGACCCTGGATTCCTTATGTAGGGGTTCCTTATCTAATGCCTCCAGCGTATAGGAATCGGAGGTGGATAAACCTCCTGCCTTGACACGTCGATTAGCGAATTGGCTGTTTCCGGTTCGCGAGAGGGCGATGCGGCCGTCATTTTTGCGGGTCCAGGTCCGTCGGTTTCGATTTTAGGCCGTTTTCGTTGAAGGGAGGTTCGTTGAAGGGAGTTTTGTCCACCGCCGAAGGAAAATGACTCGGGGCGAAGGCCCCGTCCTGAGGGGAGGCCCCGGGGTCCAGGAGCCGTGTCCCTCAGGACCCGCTCCCCCCCCCTGCTGATCCTTGACCCTGATGGCACGATGAAGAAGTGGGCTCACTGAGGTCCCCGTCTTCACGCCAGGGACAATACGTCTGGGCGGTCTGGCCTGTCACATCTGCAGAAAAGACCCCCTCTCCCTAATGTTTCTGGCCCTCCTAACTGACCCCAAATCCCTTATTAATCGCCCAACGGGCCAGAGGCGTGCTAAGATCTCCGGTGACTGCTTTACAATATTTTTCTTCGCGCGCGCGGGGCGGCCCCTGGGGGTCTCCCCACGAAAAGTACCCCGGCAGGGTCCCGGGAGACTCCCGGGAGGGTCCCGTCAGGTTCCCGTCAGAGATGTTCTCCCTCCTGGGTGCCGCCCTCGAGGTCCTCCAGAGAGCCTCCAGACGCCCCAAAACGCCCCCAAGATGCTACAAGAGGGCTCCGAGATGCCACAAGATCGCTCCAAGACGCTCCATGTGGCCCCCAAACGCCCCAGGAGGCCTCCAAGAGCACTCCCAAGAGGGCCCCAATAGGCAAAATTCATTGCTTTTCCTTAGGTTTTGGTGAGATTTTGGTATTCCCACCCTTTCCGCTTTCCAACGCCCGACGACGGCCCAAGAGGCCCCCAAGACCGCTTCAAGAGTGCCCAAGAGCCCCCCACAAGGGCCTTACGACGAGCCAAGATGGCCCCAAAAAGGCCCCAGAGGGCCCCAAGACGGCACAAGAGGGCCCCAAGAACGCCCCAAGAGCGGCCCCAGGGGGGGAACACGACACAACATGTCCAGCCCTCGGCCCTAAGAAGCCCCCAGGAGGACCCCAGAGGCCCCTGAGAGGTCCCAAGAGGGCCCCCCAGAAGCCCTCAGGAGACCCCCCAAATGCCACCCCCCAGTACGCAAGCAAGCGAAACAACATGTCCAGCCTTCGCCCCTACGAAGCGGCACAACCTGAGTCCCCCGCCCCCTGCAGTTCCGCACTGCCGACGGCCACTCGGCCAGTCAACGGCGGTGCGCGATATGGGCCGGCGGAATGAGCGAAGCGATTAAATTAATCGTCTCCCGGGACCGGTTTTTTAAGGCGCTTTTTTTAACTGGGGGAGTCCGGTGTATTGGAGCGTTTTTGGATTGGATCTTAGGGGGTCCGGTTTATCAAGGCGCCCCGTCGAAGAGGGGGTCTGGAATATCAGGTCGCAGTTGGAGGGGGGGTCGGTTTTTTAGGGGGGGGTCGATTGATAAGGGGTTTGGAGGAGGTCCCTTCCCAAAGGGTCAGGGATCCCTTCTTGGTTCAGCCTCCTCTGCCGAGGCTCCACGGCCTCCACGCCGTGCCCCGACCGGGTGCGGGCGGGCTCCCCAGCCGCGCGCGCGCGGCCCCAGCGCGCGCTCGTCCCGTCTCGCTTCGCCCAGGCCCTCCCTGCGCAGCCCCCCCTGCCCACCTCGGCCCTCGGGGGAGGAAAATAGGCACCCACGCCGCCACCTACGCCAAAATAGTCAGAAAATAGTCGGGGGACGATTTGTCGACCATTTTTGACTATGCTTGATCATTTGGGGGGTATTTTTTTCGTCCGGAATCCGGCTGTAGGGGGACACGCCCGACCTAACGCTACTCCTAACCCCTTATTGATCGACCCCCCCTAAAAAACCAGACCCCCCTCCACATGCGACCTGATATTCCGCACCCCCCGACGGGCCGCTTTGATAAAACTCCAAAGGAAGTGCCCTGATAAACCAGACCCCCCCAGCTACAAAAAGGAGCCTTACAAAACCGGACCCGGGGGGCGATTCGAAAAAAAGTGATTTGGAGTACCCACACCGCGACCCTGCGCCCGTTTCCCTTTTTTCTCGGCCTCCTCGGAGGCCCTCGTCGCCGCCGCTGGATTCGCCTCGAAATCCTGGTCAGAACGCACCCCAGGAGAGGTCCGGGGAGTTGAGGTATCGGTACCTTTCGGTTTTCTTGGGACCGGGCCAGGACGAGGATGAATTCGTTCCAGAGCGTTCCAGAAGGTTCTCAGAGCTTTCCAGAACGCTGTGAGAAGGCCGCGGCGCCCGAGACATCCTGCAGAGCCGCGGGATCTCAGAGTTCTTCGATGTATTCTTACCCGATTTCCATCCTCGTCCTAACCTCGTCTTGGTTCCGAGAACCCGTCGCCCTGCCTCCTCCTGCACGCCGCAAGCGAGGACTCCTTCGCAGACCTGGTGGAGTGGTCCACCCAGCAGCCGTCGGAGGCCTCGGCTCGGCTGGGGGGGGGGGGGGGCTGTGTCAGCCGGGCCGCGTCGGGCGCGGGGATGGCCCTCTCGAGGGCCGGGTCCGCCTGAGGGGGGAGGTGGGCCGTGGTGCGAGAGAGGAGAAAAAAGGAGAGGAGAGGCGAGGCGAAGAGTGGAGAGGGATCGTGACGATCGGAATGGGCACGGAAAACAGATGGCACAAAGACCTGGGGTGGAGAGGGAGCAGGAACCGGGGAGAAAGGGTGGAGACGCAGGCAGGGGAGGAGGGAGGAGGGGTGAGGGAAGCAGGGAGGTGGGAAGCAGGAGGATGGCGAGGCCGGGGGTGATGATAATGACGCGTCCGATTACCTCTTTTTTGCTGAGGTTGACGGCGATGGCCAGGTGGTTGATGGCGATGGCCAGGAGGGACCCCTCGAACAGAGCCCATGCTCTTCAAGGCTGCCCCCCCCCTCCCACTGGGGACGAGGGATGAGAAGGGAGTAGGGACATGAGGAGACGGCGGAGGGTAGTGCGGAGGTGTATGGGTTTGAAGGAGAGATGGGGCGGGATGTGGGGGGGGGGGGGGCAGGCAGGAAGAGTAGGGAGAAGAGTAGGGAGAAGGGGTATGCAGGTGAATGATCGGCAATGAGCATGACAAGGAAAGGAGGGAAGGAGAGTGGGGGCGAGGAGGACAGGAGGGGAGGACAAGAAGGAGGAGGACGATGAGGAGAAGGAGGAGGAGGAGAAGGAGGAGGAGGAGCAAGGGGCTGACCCCAGGAACCCTGGAAGCCTTTGGAGGCCCAGCAAACGACAAAGGCGTGTTTTTCGACCCACGAGGAGGGCGAGGAGGAGGGGAGGGAGTGGTCCAGCGAGCAGGAAAAATGGATCCTCACCCTTCTCCCTTTCTCTTTCTCCTTCTCCTCTTCCTCCTGTCTCCCTTCCCTCCTTCCGCTCGCTTTGCCACTCGCATTCTTGTCCCGCCTGTCGCCTGTCGTTCCCCCTTTCGTCTCGGATTCCCCCCTTTTGTCGTCGCTGCTGGGTCACGCTGGACAAGACAGGAGGGGGCCCTCTGGCGACGCCTCTGCCACGGAGGGTCAGCCGTCTCGGGCCGGCAGGCCCGTGAATGTAATGTCAGGGCCTTGCATCCATGACGCGCTGAGGCCTCCTGGTCCTAGAAGCGATGGCTATAGGGATTTCGACCGCCGGACTTCGACCGCCATTACTTCAGCTCACCCAAATTACCTCCCTCCCTCCTCCTCCTCCTCCTTGTCCTTCTCCCCTCCTCCTCTTCATGTGCCCTTCCTGCCCTCCTCCTCCTCCTCTTCATGAGCACCTCAGACAGCATGCTCATCGAAGGGCCCGCCAACATGCCCCACGTCCGCTGCAAGTTGGCGACTGCCTGCCTCGCCATTCGCCGCCTTTGCCGCCGCCTTCGCCGCCGTCGTCGCCGCCGCCGCCGCCGTCGTAGTCGTCGTCGCCGCCGCCGCCGTCGTCGTCGTCGTCGTCGTCGTCGTCGTGGTCGTCGTCGTCTTCGTCGTCGTCGCCGTTCTCGTCCTCATCTCGCCCTCGTCTTCGTCCTCGTAGTCCTTGTCATCCTCGTCGTCCTTGCCGTGCGCCACCAGGACGTCCCGGAGGCGGACTCCGCGGCCGCCGCCCGCCCGCTGGCGCCAGCGCCGTCGGCGCGTGCCGCGCCGGCGCAGGCGGAGCAGCGCGCGGCCGCGACGCCGCTGTCGCTGGAGGCAGCGCGACCCTGCCGGCCACGGGGCTTATTGGTCCAATCGGGGTTGAGTCGGCGTTACCCCCCATATATATATATATATATATATATATGCTATATGTGCGTTGCCCCCCAGGGACATCGCGCGCACCGAGAAATCTTACGTGCGCTTTCTGGCCATACCGCTCGGGAAACGATGTACTGCAAGATGGGTATACTATATGTTCGGGTCGGACGCTCGCCTTCAAGGAGGACATGTAGTACTAGTATGTCTCTGTGCGTCCCACGGGGGGTTCGGTCGCCCTTGACCAGAGCCCCGAATCATCGAGGCTGGGGGTGGTCAGGGTATAGCTGCTGGTTCGTGCCCCAGGGCCCCGGACCAGATTTGCCCCGGGCTTGAGCTGTCCCAGATACTTCGGGCGTCCAACCATTCCCGAACCATCGGGGTTGGGTCGGGGTTGGCCAGGGGTGACTGCTGCTTCGTGCGTCGAAGGCCAGACCGGAGTTGCCCCCGACCAGGGTCCCCCCAGGACATTTCTGGCGTCCAAACAGGCGTCCCTCAGAAGCAGAGCCCTCGCGGGTGTTGCAGAAAGCTAGCCAAGTCTTCGCCTTTGATTCGAAGCTCTGGGCGTTTCTGGAGGTTCTCGTCGCCACGGTTGGGTGGACGGTGGACGCGACTCGAAAAATTGACGAGGATGTAGGCGGTGCCCCGCTAGCCATGGGAGCGCAGACAACGTCGCAAGGTCTTTCCATGCAGAACGGGTTCTTGACGGGATTGGTGTTTTCCCGGCCGCTGGACGCTGCCATAAAGATGAGCAGGTCCTGAATCCCTTGGGACGTGTTCGGTCCTTGTTTGGGATTCCAGAGCGCTTCTCGTCTCGGAGTGGAAGCTGGTCCAGAGGAGAGTCCAGGGGGCTCTTGGGGCTGGTGGAGCCATCCGGGAGCGTTCCTGGGCCGTCCAATGGCTCCCTTTGGTTGTTTTTTAGGTTCCGCCGCAGAGCTTTTGGGCCAGCTTGGGGCTCTCTTGGGGCCGTCCTGGGTCCACTGGGGTCCCGCTTGGGGCTCTCAGTGAGCGGAGCACGCGGAACAATCGAAGGACACCAAGATTTGGCCGCTCGAGGCCTTCCTGGAAAGGGTCCTGGGGGTGTCTTGGAGCCTCTAGGAGGCCTCTTGGGGCGTATTGGGCGCTTCTTAGGGACCGTTGGGTGGATATTGGGTTTAAGTCGGGCGTGCCCCTCTACAGGGGGACTATTCAAAATGTTTAAAACAGTCTTGGGACGAATTTCCTATAATTTTGTTCGTTCTTTTGTTTAATTTAACAAAACGTCGTCCAACATCCGCCTGTAGGGGGACATGCCCGACCTAATGTTGGGGCCATGTTGGCGACATTGGTGGCCTTCTCAGGGCCGTCTGAGGGGCCTCGGCGAGCTTCCAGGGGTCCAGCGAGGCGCGGGGCAACCGCAGGGGGCTTGGGGAGGCAGTGCCGGTGAATGCGGCGGAGTGCGGGGAGGGGTAGAATGGAGGGTTTCTCCTCCTCGTCCTCCTCCTCACCCCCCTCCTTCCTCCTCCTCCTCCTCCTCCTCCTCCTCCTCCTCCTCCTCCTCCTCCTCTATCTCCTCCTCCGTAGCCATTTTGGCTCAAGGCAATGAACCGTCCCGACGACCGCGAGTTTTTCGGGGCGACCTCAGAGCGCGAGGGAGGTTCCGCTTTGAGGCCACTCTCCAATCCAGTCCAATCAATTTCAGGGGATCCCGATCCCGACAGAAGTTGCCTGTCGGTCCAAGCCCCTTCGCCAGCAGAGTCGAAGCCATGGTGCCGAGCCCTGCGGTGCTGCGTGGTCCGCGCAAGCCGCACTGGGGCTGCAGCCACTGTGGCCGCGCGGCCAACTGGGCGAGCCGAATTACATGCTTGTGCGGCGCCAGCGCGCCGATGCGTGTGGTGGCCGCCGCTCGGGAGGCAGACAAAGCAGCAGCAGCAGGCACTCCGTCCAAGAGAGTTGGTGGCTCAGGTTTGCGCCCGTCACCAGCCCCATGGAGCGCCGAGTTCAAGTACATTCAGCAGATGGAGCAGCGCCTCAAGGCTACAGAGGCGGAGCTTCGCAAAGTCAAGAGTGGCAACAGTGACAAGCCGCAAGAAGAAGCAGCTGCTGCTCAAGACCCAGCTCAGGTTAAGCGCGCCAAAATTCTCAAGCAGATCGAGGTGTATGAGAAGGTCGTCAGGGACACTGCCGAGTTTGGCGGCGCCGTGCACGACGCGGACAAGGCTGCGCTCGAAGACCTTCGGGCTCAGGCCAAGGCGCTGCGGCCCCCTGCCACAGCGCACAAGACAGCGATGCAGAAGCTTGAGAAGTCCAAGCAGCAGCTGGTCAGGCAGCAGAGCGAGCTGGAAGAGTTGCAGCGCAAACTGGCGCAGCTACAACAAGACATTTCAGGTAAAGAGAGCGCGATCATCGCCAAGACGTCCGAGGTCAAAATTCTGCAGCAGGAGGTCGCCGAGAGTGCGGCCAAGCTCAACCCGCAGCAGCCCTCGACCAACGTCAAGGATGAGGCGCTCGACGAAGAGACGTTCAAGCTGGATACGGAGAGCGAAGAGGTCAAAGCCATGCCAGAGCCCGTTGAGTTCTATGCCAAGTTCTCGGCCGATCCCGTGTTCGCCAAGTGCCAGCAATTCATTCGAGAGAAGTACAAGAAGAAGGATGTGCCCATGCCGCAGGCGGAGCAGCAGCAACCTCCACCCGCAGCGGGCACGGACGCCAGCAACAAGCGTGGCACCGAAGACGAGCTCAACTTACAGGGAGCTCAAGAATTGTGGAACGACTTGCAGAGTGCCGCAGCCCAAGGCGACGAGGCCACCAAGCTGCTCGAGCTCACCAACAAGCTCCACAAAGCCAAGAGGAGTCGTACTCGCAGCCCTGATCATGGTGCTCCAGGTCAGTGCGCGACTAGCTCCTAACACGCTCATCGCCACCCTCCAAGGACAGTGGATCAACGAAGGAGGGGATGGCACACGCAGTTCCAGTTCTGGGCCGACTTCGATGAGCTCGGCTTCGTCAGTTCAGATTTTTGTTGCTTCTGCGATCGGTGGAAGTACTGCAACAGATGGGAATGGTCAGTCTGATATAGGACGCAGGCCACATGCCAACGATCCCATCATTGGTGTTCCTTGGGTCTTGGGGGTCGCAGGGCTTTCCTCGTCTATGGCCACGACGCCGCCGTTGCTGGAGGCCGCTCGCGCAAACTGGCAGTCAGGCGCGCAGCATCAGTCTAACGCCAGTCGAGATCAGCTTCCAAGAGTGAGCAGCCTCAGAGTGTGTGGCGGTCGCAGTCAGGCTCCAGCTACTCCCGAGAGCGCTCTGCAGATGCATTTGATTGAGACCTTCAAGGCCAACCAGGGTCGCAATACGTTAAAGAAGCGAGTCAAAGCAAGCAAGGCGAAGATCATCTTGGCTCAAGAGATCGGATACTTCGCCCATGACGTGGAGGAGCTCTACAGCTTCGCCGCCAAGATGGGTTGGTCAGTCATCGCGCTGCCAGGAGCTCCCACAGCAGGACACCTTCCCACGGCAGGCGTCGCAGTATTTGCTCGCAATGGCATTGGTCTGCGCTGGTCACCTGCATCTAATACGTCGGAGATAGTTGCACATAGAGCGCAGCACATTCAAGTGGATGTACCAGGCTGGCCGACCCTGAGCATATTCAACATCTACTTCTACACGTGCGAGGGCATGACAGTCAGGAATGCGGCCATTTTTGCCAAAGTAGGAGAAGAGATGGCTGGGCTCACCCATCCAGCACTCATTGGAGGCGACTGGAACATGAGTACAGATATCGTTGAGGAGTCGACCTTTCCGCTACATGCGCATGTGGAGCTCACAGCGCCGAAAGAGGTCACCTGTCGCACTCCAACTTCGTCATCCACGATCGACTACTTCGCGCTGAGCGAGGCCGCTATGTTACTTTTTCGCACCGTCACGGTGGACGCCGAGTGGCACATCAAGCCGCATAGGCCAGTTCACCTGCACATGGCGGCAGTTGGCAAGTCCTTGCAAGTCTTGACCTACGGCGCGTCGCCGAAGTTGACACCAGTTATCCCCGAAGGCCCTCACTTGCCAGAAGATCCCTGGACTCTGACTGCTAGGTATGCTGATGAGGCGTTGGTTCTAGCTAAAGAAGCACGGCCAGATGCAGCGTGGGGTCTTCTAACGTTGGCATGGGGTCAGTTCGCCGAGCAAGCAGCCCGTCGCATTGCTCATACTACTGGCTCAGAGGTTAAAGATTACGGCGCTTACTCCAAATTCCTACAGCCAAGATGGGTCGACATCCGCTACGAGCTGAAGGACATCCCTGGAATCCAAGCGCGTGCAGATGGATGGAAATGGCTTTCTGATATGATGGCAACAACCGCTCAACTGCGTGAAAGCCGTCAGCCCGAGGAGATTAACAAGATGCAAGACGAGATTCTCCTGCTGCAGTCATCTGCATACCCTGGGCAAGGCTGAAATCGCAGGTTGGATGCAAGCGTCGAGCAAGCACGTCGAGTCGTCAGCAGTCACTTTCATGCAGGTGCCATACGTGAGTTGCACGACGAGTGGCAAGATAATGTTGATCAAGCATTTCAGGAAGCCGACAGAGACAGTCAAGCGAGGTGGAATGATTAGTGTCGACAAGCCAGCGCTGGAGGACTTCGAGGCCTTCATAGACTGACACAAGTTCGACAAGTACAGGCTCCCACCACAGTTGTAACTAGTGTTGGGAAGTATTCAGCTCATCCTCATGATGTCGTTGCTGCCATGGAGGCTGAATGCAAATCGATATGGCGAAGTTCCACGGAGGCCCCTAGAGCTTGGATTCACGACGGAAGTTCTCATCGGCGAGCGGAACCAGAGGATATCCGCAGAGCCGCTCGCACTTTTCCAAGCACTACGTCAGCGGGCCTCGACGGGCTTCATCCACGACATTTGTTGCATCTCAGTGACGATGCATTGCGAGTGCTAGCAGTTCTGTACGAAGCTATGGAATCACTTGGGATGCTTCCCAAGGAACTGGTATGTATTCTCATGCCTATGCTGCCAAAGCCTCAGGGGGGCCACCGTCTCATACTCTTGTACGCGTCGGCCTACCGCGTTTGGCAACGGATGAGGAGATGCGAATATGATGACTTGATGAAGGTGCTGGACAGGAAATACTGGGGCGCTGGCAAAGGTCGCAGTCCAATCGACAGCGCATGGAAGCTAGCAGCTCGAACAGAAGCGAGCGCAGCCTCAGATCGTTCATCTGTCACGCTCATAGCATATTACTCGGAGTACTACGAGAACATCGAGTTGAAGCAGCCGCGGCAGAAGTTTATTCGCTTCGGAGCGGCCACGGCATCAGTCAAGCTCACCTACAACACCTGGCGTGCGCCGAGACTGGTCCGACTGCTGCAGCATCACGGCGATCAACTTGGACATGCAGAGTATGGTATTCCTGCTGGCTGCGGGGTGGCTGACATAGCCGTTAAAGTGCACGCCGTCGAGCAGTGCGATTATTATGTGGCGCTCCATCCCTTAGTCGACTTCGCCAGCTACATAGACGACCCGAGCATGGGAGTCGAAAGTGCAGGCCGATCTTCAGTCATCTCCCTCGCGGTCGAAGCTGGCAGAGGTTTCTTGGAGACGGCCGCAGCACTGGGGGGCCACAATCAATGAGAAGTTCGCAGTCCTCGCCAACACGTGAGAACTGGCAGAGGCAGTTGCTACCAAGCTCGGTCTTTCGGCAGGCAAGGCAGTCACAACGGCCACCTATCTTGGCACGGATCAGGCTGCAGGCAGATATCGAAAGGCTCCGAGAACACGAGCGAAGATGTCCAAGCGCAAGACCAAGCACCGACAACGACTTCGTAAGCTAAGACGGCATAAGAGGGCCTTGCCTGAGCTTAAAGAGCAAAGGATTGGCAAATGTTTTCGCGCTGGCGCCAGTCCCGCGCTAACTTACGGAGTGGAGATCTTGGGACTTGACAGTGCTGGGTTATTGCAGCTGCGTCGTGATTACTGCAGGCAGGTCCAACCCTTCCACGGAGGCGTTTCTCTCTCAGCAAAGCTGGTATTAGACGGCGACCCCGCTTTACGTCAAGCTGTGGCACCAGCATTGCAATGGAGCCGAATGGTTTGGATGGCAGCATCGCAGCCTGACACAGCAGTTGTATCCTTGCAGGTGCTCAAGTCATGGTGGGGCAATGCCTTACTCCACATTGATATTGCAGCACTGGAATGGAAGGGTACGCGAGGTCCCCTCATTCGTGCAGCACTGTGCGTCCACAGAGTTGGTTGGACAATTCAGTCAAGTACAGTTTGGAAAGATCACCGAGGAGCTGATATTCCCCTGGAACAACTCACACCTGGCATTCTTGAGGGTCTCATGGGCAAGGCCATGCAGCGTCGACTTGAGATGACCTTGGCTGTCAAATGGGGAGCGCCTCCAGGATCTCGAGTTTCGTTTGATTTGATTCGAGCGGCAGTTCGCCCCAGGAGCCGTCGTCTCAATAAGCATCAGAAATTTCTGGTTCGCACGTCGGCGGTGGAAGGTCATTGGGCCAGGGAGCGAGCTCGACCCAGAGGTTACCAAACTGATGGTCGTTGCAAGTGTGGAGCAGCAGATACGGATCACCACAGGCTGTTTGTGTGTACCTTGCCAGAGGTGATTGCAGCCAGAGCCGAATCTGAGGTGCCAGCATCTTTTATCCAAGCAGGAATTGATCATCCAGATGAGAGATGCTACACCCAAGGCTGCTTCACCTACGAGGACAGCGACATCCCAGAACTCGATCCAGGAGTTGAGGCGCACTTAGTCACTCCAGAAGGTGAATATATATATATATATATATATATATATATATATGTATGCAGAACCTGAACAATTAGCCGAGCAACGTGTACAAGGTGACAGGTTGGAATTCGCAGTTGGTGGATCATGCAGCAAGCCTTCCCTTGTCACTCTTCAGAGAGCTGGGTGGGCTGTGGTGCTGATGAATCCTACGGCTGACACACCAGTTGCAGTCATGTACGGCGCGGTTTCAAGAGCCATGCCCCAGTCGTCAGCGATGGCGGAGTTCCTGAGCATGGCGTTTGTCGGGCAGATCACCGGCCGTCCTTCGACGGTATATGCAGATTTTATGGCAGTGGTGAAGGCGGCTCTGAAATCGAAGCAGGAACAGTTGCAGGCCAGGTCAATGCACTCGTGCGTGCACTTCTTTGGCCACCAGATGCGCGGCTACGATAACATCCAGAGCGTCTGCCACGTCAAGGCCCACAAGTCTGGCGAGAAGTACCTGGCGCTCTCGGACGATGACAGGCGCATCACGGACGCCAATGTGGTCGCCGATGTGTTTGCCAAAAAAGCTGCGCTCTTGCGCCCGTCCGCTTCTCCTGAGTCCCTTGTGGGAGTTGAGGAAGCCAGTACCAACGCCAATTACGTTGTTAAGTTGTGTGCCCACGTTCTCCCGTGTTTCGAGCGCGAGGAAAGGTTTTCCAGGCTCCCCGTTTTCGCACGGTCGAGGCACACTATGAAAGAAAACTGGCACGACTGGTGTAGGACCTCCATCGGCACCCAGTGTAGGAATTGTCTCAGCGTGTTGGAGCCAGGCCGAGACAGGCCCATGCTGGGCTGCAGAGGTTTGCCCAAGTTTTTGAGAGACTTCAGGCAAAATCCCTTGGGCCACCAGTTGGTTGCTGTTTCCCAGGGGAGCGTGACCAGCTGGAGCTGTGCGGGGCCAGCCTGCACAGCTCTAGTTTTTGTTTGTTATCTGTGCGGGGCCTGGGCTCAGCAACGTCGTAAAGATAAGCTTCGGTCCCCATGCGTGAAGCCCGCGTCCAAGGGCGACGAAGTGCTGCGAAATCTTAGAAGGGGAATTGGTCCGCATAAGAGGCTGGCCGAACGCATTGATTCTGTTGCGCCCCTTCAGAGAGTCGCCCCTGACAGAGCCCAGCCCTCTTCGAGTTCCACAAGCGTCACTCGATCGAATCCCGATTCTGTGTTGTCCTACGAGGCTCGTATGGCAGCATTGCACGCCCGAATCAAGGCAAAGGAGGAGGCTGCCCGAGGCGCAGCCCCTTCCTGATAGAGCAGCGGCCACTCGCTGTTCGTCCAGTTCCAGGCGGGTGCGTGCGTGCCCGTGCTGTCAAGCAATCATGTGACAAGGTACTCTTGCAGTCATTTAGTCATTTAGTCCTCTATCTCCTCCTCCCCCCCCTCCTCCCCCTCCCTCCTCCTCCCCCTCCTGCTCCTCCTCCTGCTCCTCCTCCTCCTCCTGCTCCTCCTCCTGCTCCTCCTCCTCCTCCTGCTCCTCATCCTCCTTCTCCTCCCTCTCCTCCTCCTCCTCCTCCGCCTCCTCCTCCTCCTCCTCCTCCTCCTCCGTCTCGGGTCGCCTACGGCCCCGGGGGAAACCGTGCAGGTAGAGGCGTTCTTGGAGATGTCAAGAAACCTTGTTACATTAGCATCTCACCCGCGTGAGACACGTGGTATCCCAGGGCTTGAGGGAGCCGTGAAGCTGCTGCTGCTGCCGCCGCCGCCGCTGCCGATGATGCCGCCGATGACGCCTCCGACGACGACGCCGACGGCAACGACGATGGTGATGATGATGGTGATGATGATGATGCTGGTGCTGATGCCGATGCGGATGCTGCTGATGATGATGCTGATGACGATGACGATGACAACGACTATGAGGATGATGCTGATGATGGTGACGGTGATGATGGTGATGATGATGCTGATGTTGATGATGACAATGAAGATGACGATGATGATGATGGTATGAGTAAGAGAGCGTGATGATGGTATGGAGGGGGGGGGAACCTGACCCCCCCTCCTCCCCTACTTTTCCTTTCTCCCTCTCCTCGGGCTGGCGGCGCCGGCTTCGGTGGCGGCTGGCGGCGGCGGCGGGGGTGCTGGTGGTGGTGGTGGCCGTGGTGGTGGTGGTGAGGTGGTTTGTGGTGGTGGTGGTGGTGGGTTGCGCTGCTGATAGTAGTGGTGGTGGTTGTGGCGGTGGTGGTGGTGTGGTAGATTGTGGTGATGGTGGATGTAGTGGTGGTGGGTTGTTGTATTGGTG